TCGTCCGGCAACAATACGGGGCGCGACGATGCGATACGCCGTGATGCTCGTTACGATCAATTGCACTATTTATATCGGTAATTAATTTATTACGATTCGTAACCACCAACCGTTCGCGCCGGCCAAATCTAATGCCGCGGTTTTTAATTGACATCTAAACGTCGCCCGTTCGCTCGGGACGAGCCGTGCGCAAACGTGAAATTTCACGGCTCCACTGTCGCGCTAAACTTCGCGATTTACGGGGCTCGCGTGTTCTTTCAGCGTGACTGGTCTCGTCGAACGTGATATTTCCCGGATATGACGCGTTACGTGCGTACATACGGATATATATATGCGCACATAATCGCGTATCTCTCACGTAGCCGCTTACACGAGGGCGTCGGAATAATCCCCGCGATACCTCGTAAATGCACTCCGCTGCCTCGCATCAGCTGTTGTCACGCAGTTGTCGCCCGAACGTAGGCTGACATGTCGAGGCACCAGTGGTTGCGCCGCGTCACGGTCAGACGTGACGTATGTTTGCGTCGCAACGACGAGCGTGCGCGTATATCAGCGAGCCGAACGGCGCCTTACGAAATCACGCACCGGATACGCTCGAACGATGATACGACACCGTGCGCATCGCGTTGAGAAATTGTCGCGTCCGATCAATTGTTCCGTCACGGCGCGGCCGTGAATGGCAAACGGGTGAGCGCGAGAAATATGTAAATAAATTTCGCGAGAGAGAGAGAGAGAGGGAGGGAGGGAATGTCGGCGAGTATCGGCGCGACTGAGCCGGTCATTTCGCTTTCGGAAAAATCGCGCGGTTTCCCCGTGCCTTTTTTTCTCCCGCCGGTTTTAAAATGACGCATTAAATATGACGCATGGCCGCGCGCGGGATTTACTGCGTGCGGGGGGNTGTGTCATTGTGCAGCGGACGGTTGGCTTTTAGCGACAACGACGCGGTAGTTTCCGGTACGCGACGCGATAATGATCGACGGTATCGGTATAGATTTTCATCGGCCGGCCGGGGCGTGATACCATTCGGCTTCAGTCGCTCAGCCGTGGAACGTCCGCGCGCCGCCGGAGGATTATTCTCTATTATCGGCGCGGCGCATATTGCGGCGATCGTAAAATCGGGACGCAATAGCCGACGGTTATAATCGGGAACGCACTCGGTCCGCCATTATCGTTTGCGTACATTATAATTCACACGCGAGTCACGAACGCGCGCGCGCTCACGTTGAGCGCGCGTGCACGCGCGAATTAATCTCCGCGAATTCCTTCCCGCGGGCCGAATTTTGAGGGCGCGCGCTTTCGAGCCTGCCCCCCGAGCTGTTTTCCATTACCCGACAACGACAAATTAATCCGACGTGCAAAAGAGCCCGGGATATAATCGCATTAATCTGCGCGGGGGAAAAAATTTTATTACAACGGAAACACGAGCGTGCGCGCTCGTACGATGGATGTTCCGCTCGGCCCGGGAAACCAATTCCGCGCGGCTATTTTTGCAACTCGTTAGCGGAAGCGCGCCCTGTACTTCCCCGTGCGGCGGTGGGTGCACGTTGCGGTGCGCGAAGGACTGTGGTGCGTCTAATTTGAAATTTAGCAGCATCGCGTGCGCGAGAGCTAACTGAGACGGTGAATATTATGGGCGAGCGTTACGGCGTCCCTCTTAAATATTGAGGGATATACGATGCGGAGTTTGACGCGGCCGAAGAGATACTTACGTTAGTCCGCGCGCGCGATAGCGAAATAGTACGTTCTCGCTCGGCAAAAGTAAAACTACTCGCCTCGGGCATTTTACACACACACACACATATGTACTTCGTGACGTACGAGAAAGCGCCCGCGGGACATAAAATATTAGTGCACGCGTTACTTTTCAATTTTATCTGATACGCTCTATATTGGAGGCGCTACGCGGGAATATAAGCCGCGCTATTTCCGCGAGACGTCCGGCAGTTTTATTTATACCGCGCGCCGTGCTCGGACAAGGCGTTATTAATGCCAGAAATACCGCACGTCGAACGCGCGCGTTCGTTTCCTCGGAGTAACGTCACGCCCCTTCCTGACTCCCCGAGTCTACAATCGCGAGTATCCAATCTCAGATCTCCAATTTCCCTCCCCTTCGTCACGATTTCGTCACAAAGTATTTGTCCCCTTCCAATATCACGTGACGTGTGGAATTACCCTCCTTCTCCCAGCCGACGCGTAGAATTAAAAAAATAGTTTATTACCAGATCGCGGGTAATAATTATTAGGCTGCGCGCTACAACCCTTTTCCTAAAATAGAAATAATTTTCGGGCATTTGACGTCAAATTCATTACTTTATTTTATAATTTTATAATTTTGATGTGTCAAATGTTGGGTTTTCAAAAGAATAAGTATGAACAAAATTAACATTTTGATTATTAACACAAAACCATGCGAAAATTTAAAAATTCCCACTGAATGTAACCAAATGTGTCACGAATGCAAACAAAGTGGGTAACCACGCACATCCATATTTACAAATGATGCCATTTAATGTGACGTTTCAAGGCTTTTGCTCCTCCCCCCTACTTCTTGCCGCCATAAACTGTCACGCAAAATGATAGATCCCCCCTCTCATGATGTGACATAATTGTTGAATGGCCGCTCAACAATTCGCAAGACCCGTTTCAAAATAGTTTCGCGAGATCTCGCGTATGCATCTCGTACACCCGCAACTTCGAAGTAACCTCGTTCTTAAACTTCACGAAAACGTTCGCGTTTACTCTCTCAATTGCTTTCTTTCGCGCATCGACGATGTAATTAGCTAATTAGTAATCCATTTAATTATTGCTCAACTAGCGACGAGAATAATTAAAAATTCCCGAGCGCCGGGATGCGTCCTTCTCTCCTTTCTCTATCTCTCTCGAAAATGCCGGACGTTTCCTTGCGTGCTCATCGTCGTGGTATAATAATTGTAAGTGTGCCTCGAGGCCGCGTGTTTTAAAACGGAGAACGCGCCGTTCGTTATCCCGCCGGCCGCTGTAAATAAAAAATGCGGTCGGTTGGGAGTCGCGCGTCGGGTCGATACGTGTCGGACGACGACGCCGCCGCCCCGAAAGAACAAACGAATTCCGAGGACGATAGTCGCGATGCATATTTAATAAAGGGAGCTCCCGCCCGCCGAGAAAGATAAAGCGCCGTTCTGGATGTTAAACGCAGCTGCGCATCGAAAGTTCGCCATGAATAATTCCGTTTGGCTCGTTTAGCACGCTGCCAACGTGGCCCGAAGTCATTCGGCCCGGCTCGGCTTGACCGCGTAATTGACCTTGCATCTCGCAACTTTATTTCCTACCGTGCACCTCGTCCGCGCGAGGAAACGCGTTCCATCGCGAGATCGATCCGAATTCGAACTACCGGAGCCAGCTTAGAGAGACCCGATACCTCTCTCTTCTCCTCCTCGCCGCATCTCTCCTGAGATGTCAAGTGTTTGATGTTCGAGCGGGATGTCTGCGTTGCGGCTGTTATAACACGGATATTCGGAATAACTGAGCAGTTCCGATAGTCTTTGTTAGAGCAGAAAGCACATCCGCAGAATGTAGACCTAAAACAGGATCATACGAATGCGTCGGAAAATCGCGAATGGCGAAATACAGGATAAGTTCATTTTGTTTTTATCGCTTTGATCCCGCTTGAATTGTTATATCTAGACGTATCCGGAAGTCCACGAGAGAGCTATCAGCGGACTTTCACGTTATTAAACCTCCGTGCAATTCGCTGTTTTTTTTTTCGCTAACGCCATGTGACTCGCGGATCACTTGTAGACGGAACCACTTCTCTCGCTATATATAAGTAAAACAAATCGGAACAAGATATTTGGACGTTATTTTCGGCTCTTAATTTCTATTATAAACATTGTTTAACTTTCAATGTTTATAACTTTTTTTTTCTTTTAGGTAAACACGGAGGGAAACATACGATTTTTTTACTTGAAGGAAAAAATTCGTAACTTTTGAACGCGTTGAACGAAAACGAAATCCCTGTAGATTTATATTTTTAAAAGACAGCTCTTCATGAAAAAAAAAAGGTTTAACAATGCTCACTAAAAAACATAATTATTTGGACAAATGAAAATTTTCGAGCACCGAAATAAAACGGTATTTGAAAGAAATAATAAGTGAATTCCACATTTAGCTGGAAAATGTTTTATTTTAAATGAAATAAATATAATTTAATAATAAATTAACATTAACATCAAAATGGAAAAACAATTTAATTAGTCGACGTAATTTAGGTAAAACAGCACACGATAATCACTGCAAACTGGCTACTCGCATCTCGTGCAACAGATTGTAGTCCTTTTATTATTTTTCCTATCGCAAAACGAGTACCTTCTTCTTGCTTACAATGTACCAGTCTCACTATTATTTTGTAGCCTCGCGCTATTTGTAAATAGAAAATAAAATTCTTATATTAATAGACATTACTTTCATTACTTTCATAAATACGTTATGTTATGAGAAAAAGTACTCATACTTACAGAAAAAGGAAATCTATAATATTACTTTTCGCTAACACCGTGATTCGTGCATCATTTCGGAAACACTTGTGACTTTACATGCTCACAATTTCTGGGTAATTGACGAAAACCACTGCAACACAAGTATCGATTTTCCTTATCACCTATTTCCTTAAGTAGAAATTTCAAGTCTCATTGTTGATTTAATCAAATTTTACTGCCAATTCAAATTTTTATTATTCCTCAAATGGCCCACGAATTATACGAAGGATTAATTTCCCCGACCGTGCGTAACCGAAGTTGCCATTATGATTGTTTTGAGATACTTTCGCGTGACTCTTCGTGTTCGCGATATTTGCTGCTTGTTAAAGAACGGGAAAAGCACGTTTTCCCGCGCTGGGTCGATAAATTCGGTCGTATCACGAAGGTTCGAAAAAACCATTCGGCAGCGGAAACGATTCGGCGACGCGTATTTCCTACGTCGGCGAGACACGACGCTATGTTTTTCAGATGATGTGATCGTTTCAGGATGGTCCAGCCTCCGCCTTGCCGTTGACCCAGACTCTGTCGAACATTTATGGCCGCAGGTCGGCCAGTCCCGATGTTCCAGGCCCCGTAGACGAGACTCAGGTTCGTAAACGTGCAAATTGTGAAAGTAAACTGCTGTTTTTTGAAAACACGCCAGGCTAACGCGAGTTCTTTCTCTATCTCTCTCTCTCTCTTTCTCTCTCTCTCTTTTTCTTTTTTCCTTCCCGAACTAAAACTCGTTTCGTTAAAATCACGCAGGAAAATGAAGTAAACGACCTCGTAACAAACCTGTAACACGATTAAAAAATGTAACGACGTGTTTAACATTAACCAAGTGTGAAACACGGTATGCACTTTCGAAGCGAGTTGTTTTTCTGCTTCGAGGCACCGTCGCTGAAAGCTGTGTTTTAATTAATGAACGATCACGGAATCACCGACGTCAGCGGTTCCGTGTGTCCCGTAGAACTCGCGAGAGTGGGTGAAGCCCTTTGTTGTATCGATCGGTGCGCGCGAAAGTGAGAAAATGTGCAGCGAGAACTTGTCACTGATAATGATTGCCTGTGCACTCGCAACGGTAAGCGTGTTCTCTGTAGTTGAGTATACGCCTGGATGAAGATCCCTGGCTTACCAACTCACCCACTCGGAAGATTCGTGGCGGCACGACTCAGAATTCGCTCACAACCTGAAACTAATTTCGCGAGTTTGCTCGCACATATCGATAACGCGCTTTCCGAGGGAGCATCGACGGACTTTCTCGTTTCTTTAGATCCTATTGAATCTAGTAAGTCTTTAATCCTTCTCTCGATCTGCGCAAAGCTCTCCGCTTCGTCGCGAAATTATGTTGATAAACATCGAATGAAATCTCGGGCGGGAAATAATGAGGAAGTTGGACGTAATAATAATTAACGGTACGTAACATTTATGCATTGACCGGCTTAATTAAAGTAGCGTCCGCAAAGTTTCCTCTTCGCTTAATTATTTCCACTTAAGACACATCTCCGGTTAATTTTGGGTTCGTACGGGCCGGATTTCACGTAGCTGGCGAATAGACTAATAAAGAGAGACGAGGGAATCACTTTATACGGTCTCGTAACTAGTCTTATTCAGCGCGAGTCTGAGCATCAAGTCTGAGGTGAATCTCAACGTGAACGCGCCTAGCTTTAAGGGCCGCTAATGCTGGTTTTAAACTCTCATAAGAGTCTTAAACTGTAATGGTTGCTCTGAAATATTCGCCATCAACCCTAATTGCTCGACAGAGACACGTGGGAAGTATATCTTATAAGCGTGTCTCCTCTCTTTCCTCTCTTGTTATTTTTTCTTTTCATTTTTATAGATCTGAATTTATATTTATCTTTTTTACTGTTCAGTTTATATATATATATATATATATATTCTATCTCTATTTCGGTGCGTGTGTATACGTACATATGCTCATATATATAAGACGTCTTAAAAACTTTCATCTTAGAATATATATTTTTTTGTTCACTTTTGAACTAATTCCATTCTTATAATGCAATTGTACTCTTCCAGTTTTCACAGAACGGGGCCCTAGAATTGAAAAACACACTCCCTCTCCCTTTCTCGCTCTATTCTACTCTATTCTTTCACTCTCTTACTCACTAGCTACACTAACGTGTAGCTGTACGACGTGTAGTTCGAATGCATATGTAACGCATCAGTATAACGGAAGTTCCAACAGCTGTGCGAGTTGAATTCCGAAGCGCAACAATAACGCGCGGTGTTTTATATAAATATCGAAATGTAATACCAACTCGCGGCACGAGAATAACATCAAATGGCCGGTTCGAAAAATTTTATTTCCGCCGCGCAATCGAATGTAACTCCGGGAACATTTACATGTGCGCCGGGAACGCGCTACTGAAAAATCCGGCGCGCCGACGGTGGCATCGGTGACGGCAACGGCACGGCGGCCGAATTTTTATTACCACTTAAATCTATTCGTCGTGCCGTACTTCCCGTTACCGTACTTGTCCGTTCGAGTAGCAGTCAGGCGGACGAATCGTTTTCAGTGTGAAAATAAAAATGTCGATTTAATGCATATCTATCGAGCGTCTCTCGCTGTTCCGCGGAAAGCCAGAATGAATATGTGCGCCACGTACGTAAATCCCGACGAATGAATACTCGATGAATTGGGTTTTTACCCCGGTGCCGTCAACAATTTTCGAGCTGGCGCGAAATGATTTTCATCGGAGGCTCTCTATCGTTCAAATATTATTTTTATCGGTAATACCATCGGCAAGAATCAGAAGTTCGTGAAATTTGTTCACTCGATCGATTACACGAGTTCGGCCGTAGCGATCGCATTCTACGTGATTACGTCGCACATACAGGCAGTTCGTTAAAAACATCGCCCCTGTTACCTTCGGTAAGATGGGGGAATCGAATTTTCTTGTTTTCTCTTCCCGCCTCCGCATTGCGATTAGGACGACAATCGGGTGGATTATGCTAAGTAGCTAATTAATCAGGACCAACGGTGCGATTCACACTCAACGTCTCTCCGCAACCATGGCCGTCGTGGGGACAGTTTCTCCTTCTTTTCTCCGCTTTTCCTTCTTATTTCCGTGTGATGCGCTCGCAATTACATTAATATGAATCGCGCAGTCGCTTGCCCTAGCCCTCTCGCTCCTTGAAAGAAGCTTAGCTGAACACTTCAAGTTGAAGAGGGCATTCGTTCGTCGGAGCTTCTTACCGAAAACGCGCATCCCCTCATCCTGGGGCTGACTGTAAACGTAGAGATTAATTCGCTTTACGTCACCGGCAGACTGTAATTTCCCGGGCGGGAAATCTACGCCTCCCCGTCCTCTCGCTGTCGTTATGGCGAGGCCTCGGCTCCCACCACGCGATTCTTCGTTTCAGAACGCGATCCGCGATTCTCGATTATCTCCTCACGTTTTTCCCATCGAGTCCAAGGTCCCTCGAAGCGCGGCATTGTGCCGCGGCATTGTGCTCGTAATGGACGTCCGATTCGCAGAATGAAACGGCCACGAGGGCCCGTGAAAAGATCCGCGCGTAGACCTGCGCATGACGGTTAATTAACCCGGCACGAAGATATTTCGCGTATTGTTGCGCCCGCGAGAGTAACCCAGCAGAGCGGGTAAATCTCGATAGCGGGATAGCCCGAGAAGAGCGAGCGGTCAAATCAAACCACCTACATCGGGCCATCGGCGCTTCCGAGTCGCGGCTCCCGCGCGATTCGTGAACGTTAATTGGCAGGCCAAGTGGTTCGCGCTGCCAGGGAAACTGTCGTCGTCGCGTGTCGGCGACGCCACCCGCGACCGTTTATAAGTTGTACCGAAAATCAATATGCCGTTATTATCGATGCCGTTTCACGGCCCGCTTGTTTACGAACGAGCCGACTGCTTGAGCCGAATTCGCGCAGACTGGGACCTGCCCGGATGGACGGTCCCCGAAGCGATTACGCAGTATATTGCATTGCACTTGATTTGGGAAACCTGATTAACTCTCGAGAATAGCGCGTCGAGTTTGTTTAATCCGGTCGTGATCGAAGCGTCAGCACCGTTCGCCGTTGCGAAACGCGGACGAATATCCATTAATGGAATTTTATTATTGGCCGCCGCTTAATCAAGCCACGGATACGCGATCGCCGCCGATGTTTTCGTTAATTCGTTAGGAATTAATTAGAGAATACTGCAACGCACACAGTCCGCAACCACGCGCGCACATACGCGCATATCATATGTCGAGCACATTTCGAGTAGAAATTCCCCATGTAGAAATTAATCGGTACGTGCTCCGAGTCTGTAGATACTTTAGATAAGCATGCCTCGAAATAGGTTTGCCTTCGTTAGCTAGATATGGTCTAGATGGCGAATTCTGAATAGAATTTCGTAAATAGGCACTGAGTAGACACTGGTGTGGATACTCCTAACAAAATTTGTGTAGGGCCCAGTTAGGACCTAGTTGGCCAATTTCTGAATTAATTTAAAGTGAGTTTTTAAAGAGACTTTAGTGGAACTTCATCATTATAAAGGCAAAATAAGATTAAATTAATTAACTTTGATTGTGGTTTCAAAAATGACGTTTGAATAGAAGATTTCACATACGTGTTACCATTTGAATTTTCTTATAAATTGGTAGTACAACAAGGTCTAGTCAGACGTACCAAGACAGGGCCTAGTTAGATTTACAAGTCTGGCCGTAATTTGTACGAGCGTTACATTTCTGCAGGGTCTGAATGAGCTTGCCTTAAAGAACCTAGTGGGGGAAAATTGCGCAGGGCTTTCCCAGGCCCCGAGGCTCTGTACAATTTTTCCCCGCTTCTATCTAGGCCCCAGAGAGAAATGTAACGCTCGTACAATTTAGGGCCCCCTTCCCCAGTTTTGTGAATCTATCTGACTAGACTCTGACTCGGTCTTACGAGCCACAGGTCTTGTTAGGGGAATCCACCTCAATGCTTATTCAGGGCCTATTCACGAAATTCCATTCAGGACTTGCCTTTATTAGACCATATCTAGGCTCAACGAAGATGAATCTATTTTGGATCGTGTCTATTTAAGGCCACTGTAGACTTGGGGCATAGTTCATTTCTATTCGGGATGTGTACGTTGAGCAACAGCCTCAAACAAAGTCAAATGGTCGTGCGCCATATGGCAGCGCGAGCCACCCGAACTAATTTAAAAATTCACAAGCGACCAGAAACGCGCGCGCTTACAGAAGTCGCATCTTCTCCCGGAATTAAAACTCGCCGTGGAGGGAAGCACGCACCACCGCAGTGCAACCGCGAGTCTGCAAATTATCGCCCGTCCAAAACGTGATTTCTGGGAATTGCTCGTGGCGATCCCGCCGTCCTCGCGGCGTGAAGTTTAATCAAGCGAGAGTTTAATCAGGCCGGCGCGTAAATTTGAACGCCACGCGGACACAATCTCTCCGGTAGCGTCGATCTCGAACGCTCTAGCGTTACCATTGTCTGAGAACAACGTTTAACGCGACCCCGCGCGGCCGCACGCGCGTTTTAAAGCGAAATTAATGACGGTTGTCAGGGCGAGCTCAGCGAAATAAATGACGCGACTCTCGTTGAATTGACAAACAACGTGTGACGGTAATTAATCGTCCGAACTCTTAATTTTGCTTACGCTCGGGAAAAAAATACTTAGCTCTCGCGGAGAGCGAAACCTCGGACCCACCCGCGCCGTCCAACCGCGATGACGCGCTTTAAAGTCGGAATTAGACGGCGACGCGCTTTCGTTCGAAGGCATCGGCATTGATACCAGCGTCGAGTCGCTTTTACAGCAGTATCGACGTCGGCCTCCTCGATGCCGACACCCTCTGCGCCGGAGTCGAGGGTCGATCGTTTCCGAGGAACACTGATGCTCGTTTGTGACCGAGTGCAAGCATCCGTTGCCTCGACAGACCGCCGTTAATTACGATCGCACGGTCGCCGATATCGCAAGTTTTCGAAAAAATTGCTCGCACGAACGGAGGGATTTCATTTCTTTGAACAGAGAACACCGGAGAAAGTGTGCGGGAAAGCGGTGTGAGGTGTATATCTGTGTGGAAGAGGCGTAATGGTTCAATGTGAATTTGAATAGTGAGATTGCCGTATGTGTAATGCATGTCGTCTACAAAATTTATAAGGCTCGGGCTGTTTTTCTTCCGAAGTTTGCTTGAGGCTAAAAGCGCCTTTAAAATGTATGAAGTTGAAATTAACGATGTCGACTTCAAAGTGTGTTCTCGTTCGTATTTACATTAATTTTGCCGTAGCACAGCGTGCGGGCAATTTCTCTACGCTCTAAGAAAGAGTTCACCCCGGAGCTTGCGGCATTCCAAGCCGAGGGAAGAAGAGAGTAGGGAAGAAAGAATCTATTAATCGACACACGAGTAACGGATCTCGCCGGAATCATATTTTTCCCGGGGAATTCGTTGCGATTCAGCGGCGGAGAGGGGAAGGACGTGGGACGAAGCGACCGCGAGGAAAAATTTATAAAGCCACAGCTCCTCCGAGAGACGAATGTCGTAAAAAAGAAGAAGGAAAAAAAAAATAAATCCGCGACTTCCAGTTGAGCGAGTCCCACGGTATCTGTCGTTTCGAGAGCTTGGCTCGTTCTTCATCGGTCACCGGCAGAACGGGGAAGCGCGTGTCGCGCGTTTGTCAAGTGCCTTTTTGAAAGAACCGCGATACTAGGAAGAACGCAACGTCACGGCGGGCGATAATAAATTATGACACGATGATGTAGCGCCGAGAGTTACGTCAAAGGTGCGTTTCCGCGAAATAGACTGTTGATGGAGATTGCTCGGAGCTCCGAAGTCTGAAGCGCTCGCGCGCTCGCGGTTGCTCCATAAACAATACGCGCCGGTGTTTGGTATTCTTGGAAGCCCGCGAGCGTTTCAATCACTTTGAAATTTTCCTTCTTCCGCCCCGCGAATCACCGCCGCGGTGCGCCGTGTGGTGCGCCCAAACATTATCTATTTTTGCGCGAGCTTCCGTCGGAGAGCGCAACAGCACGTTGTGGGCGAGACACCTGCGTTAAGTTTGAAACGTCTCGATACTAGCGAGAGAGAGAGAGAGAGAAAGAGAGCTGTTAATTATAAAATACAACGAGGAGTGAGATAGCGCGCAACGAGAGGTAATGAAATGGAAAACGTGGATAACGAGGTGAGATTCGTTGAAATGGTTGAATATTTTCTTCTCCGAACGACCAGTTCGTCCGATTAGAACGATCGTTTTCACGCTCGAGGGGAAGTTTCACGCTTTAAATATTCGAAGGTATCACTTGCGCGCCGACGGATAAAACAATACGAAACGAAAATAGTTTTCGTATAATCGTTCGAGGTTACCGGGAGGAGCGAGCGGCTAATTAGCCGATTAATGCGATCAACGCGTTTCGTTGGACACACGGCATTTTGAATATTATTTTCAATACCGCGACGCGATTCTCGGCGCATTACTGCGCATTCGACGGCAACGTCATTGTCAGCGCCTTTATTCGCGTTCGTAGAATGCACTCGGCAATAATGGCCGGCGCGATTGTCAGGGGAATAAAGCGCGCGCTCGGAGGAATAAGGGCGGAATGTAGAGACAGTCCGATACTTATGACACGCTTTCAGAACACGAGAGACGGGGGAAAAGGAGGATTTGATTCGTGACATATATCCCCGGCGTTTCTCTTTTCCATTGGTATCGATCCCCGACGATGGGCGCGCCCGCGATACTCGATTGAAAGCGCCCGTTCGAGCAGCCCCGACAAAAAGCGGCTGGCGGCTTAAACGAATCGCGAAAATTCACCTCAAAGCTCGAAACCCCGCGTAAAAGTTCGAACTTTAATTGAAAAGTTCGACTCGCGCGATCGGAAAGGTTTGAAGTAATTATTAAATCATGTACGAATCAAAGAATAATCCCGCGAGGGGGTTAGCTAAATTTTCCTCAGCAATTGTTTCATCGAGGCGAAAGGTTGGTCGTAACACTTTGGCGCGAGATGGAGAGAGAGGGGGAAAAGCCATGTTATAATTATAAGTAGTAATAATAAAAGTTTCATTTTCGAGAGATTGTCGACATAAATATGTAATTCCGCATCTCTCTCGATAGCAAAGAGCTCCGGGAAAAATTACATTCAAACGCGTCGAAGTGAAATATTTAAATATGCACCGACTAACGCTCTCGGGTGCGTTTTTGTACTAAAAATTCCGGCGATGGTTTTTATAATTAAAGGAAACGCCGGTAACAAATCTCACGTACACATTTATACGTCTCCTCATCGTTTCCCCTTCGCCTCCTCTTTTTTTCTTTTAATATAATACAGCAGCTTTAAGTCAGTCGAAATTTGCGCAACGGGGCCAACGTCGAGTTGACTTTGATGGACAGCGCGCACTGAAAAATATATATTCTCGAAATATATCGCATCCCCCCGCCCCCCGAGGTGTTTTGCGCGATGATAGACTGGGTGTCGATCGTACGTCACTCAAGACGTCGATTCAGTGATTACATGTTCGCCGTGCCGGCCAAAATACGAAAGCGCAGAAGAGCGAAGCGACACGCTGATTCGCCGGGTATTCCCAACGAACGCGCCGGTAATAATGCGATTTCGCGTAATTCCGAAAACGCCGGCGGGAGTATTTGCGGATGCCGCCGCTGCCACCGCTGCTGCTGCTGGAATCACGTAAGTCCTGGCAAACACCGTAAGATGGGATTAGACCGCGGCAGCGAGGGGCGAAGGGACGAACTTCGCGTTAGGAAAGAGGCAAGATTTGGGAGTTTCGGAGATCAGTGTCGAGAAAGAACGATGAGAGAGACGGTCGGCGAGAGCCTTGCGAATTTTTCAACGTTTCGCGATCGCGTCATATATATAAAGATACACGTGCCGACATTCGTGAGCGCTGATTCGCGTTAACGCGTCATGATATCCGTACACCGAGAAATTGGCGTTTCCGCCTTTGCGATTTCTGATGTGAGCGATATTAACGTGCGCGACGGAATCGCTTCTCTGTTGCAGAAGACGAGATACGACAACGCAGGGGCGGAGGAACAGTTGCCACCGCCGCCGTCGCCACCCCAGCTGAAAGAGGCAGCCCAGCTGGATGGAGTCCCCAGACCCAACTCGGTCGATCGTATTCTTCACCCTGATGGCACCCAGCACGTCGGCCACGAGGCGCTCAACAAGGTAGGCGTAATCTCGACATATATATTTGCGACACGTATATAGAACGTAACAGTCGCCACAATGACATAAACAGAAACAGATCCTATTCGATCGCCTCCAATGTTGTTCGCAAAATTCTTTTTCATTTCCATTCTACTGTGAATATACGAAACACTTTGGGTATTTACATTTTACAAGAATACACGCTACGCTCACACTATTAAACATGTTAACATTAAAAATATAATCCTGTTTATTAATCTGTCAATCTACCATCCGATCAAACTGCCAACCCGACTCTGACAATGACAGTTGCGTGAAGCAAGCTGCAGCGTCAATCAGAATCGCGTAAAAGAAGCTTCACTCTAGATTTGGAATAAGAATAGGATTGCCAATTAGTTTCTAGTGGGACGACTTATTTTGGGACAACTTTAGGTATTCTAATAAGAATCTGTACTGTATATGTGAGAAAATTTCTGTGCTGGCGATAATTATACAACAGTCGAACGCGTCGTACTCAAATAAGGGTTGAGACGTCGGGTTCGCATCTCCCGTTGTCCGCGAGGAACGACTGGCGCATGCGCTCACGGGCTCGAAATGCTCGCCACCTACGGTTTCATCCCTGAAGATACTCTCCCTTACCGCGAAATCGATAGAAGCAAGCTCTCGTGCGGTTGGTAACAGCCGTGGGACAGACCTTCCACGTTACCGAGTGCCGTGATAGTCTGACGAAGGTCGGTGAGAATGAACGCGCAGCCGATGTCGAATATCACGCAGGCGAGCTTGTTCGCGCGGTTAGAACAGTAAACAGCGAAATCCGCTCAAGAATAGTCCGTCTTCGCGACAGACTCGGAGCTCCTTCGTGTCGCTTGATCCGACTCAAGTCCCCCCGAGAATCGTTCGGCGAAGATTCGGCGGGATCGCACGTATCAATGAACTCCGTTCAAACGATCCATCCGACCCCGTCGCTCGAACTCAACCGGAGTAACGAAGAATCGCTGACACCTCAAAGCCATCCCTCGGACAGTTTGGCGCACCCTCCATCAGAGGGCGGAGACACGGCGCGTCGGGATTCCCGGGGAGGCCGCGCGATCTCGCCACAGTCCGCCACGTGGTAAGATCGAGGTCTGTATTACCGCGTCCCCGTCGGCCGCAACACGTGGACAAAACAGTTCGACTTTGCAGCTCGTCGGCGCCCGTGCCGGACACACGGTTCCTCGGCCGCGGTCAGTGCGTCGCGCCAGCCGATCGCGTCGGGAATCGCGGCGGATGACGCGGAGGGAGAGAGAGAGGTACGAGTGCTTTCCCGGACAGGAAGAGAGGGTGTTTCCCGCGCGTCCTTGGACTCGTGCGAAAAACCGAAAGGCGCTTATTGATCTATCCGCGCGCGGCCACGGTTCTCGCGCGCGCGGCGATGTTTTTTTTTTCCTCGCGGGCCGCGCGCGGTCGATAACGGTTTGCGTCCGCCGCGCGCGGAACATTCGTTCTCCCACGGATCGGCGCGGAGAGTGGTGAAGTGCACGTCCGGATCGTCGCGCGTCTAATTGCGCCCGACGGATGACCGGCCCGCCAGCCAGCGCCCGGATATACCGCCGAGCTGTATACGTTATGCCGTAATTGCACGCGATCGCAACGACAGCCTCTCACTCGTGTATAACTAATTCGGGAATTAGGTTAATTAATTCGGCGCGCGCGCACAGCCGGGCGTTATTGCGTCGCCGTCGCTGACGATTCTACGGTTTTAATTACGGGAAAAACACGCGCACGGTACGTCCCCTTCGCGAGCTTGAGATTTCGAAGGTGAAATTTCGATCCATCCGTCGCTCCCCCCACACTCGTCGACGTCGGCGCTGTATTTTTTCCGAAGACTTAGGGTTCAACATTCTCCTGCGAGACGACTGTCAGCCAGCGAGTGGACCCGCGAATGCGGGTCAAACTGACCCAGAGACGCACGAACGCACGGATGTTTCTCCGTTTCGTTTTTTGCCCGCGACCTGCCTCCGCCACTGAGGCTCGTATTATAAGTTCACGCTGAAAACTCGTCTCATATAAGATGTCCAGATTTGGATTCACCGTGAGATCTGAATCTTCCCGTTGAATCATGCGTTTGACAGTATATTTCGTTAAACGTTACTCAGCCGAAAAACTCACACATAGCTCTGAATTCAAATCTGAGTGTCTCGCATGAGACAAGTTTCAATGATCCAAACGACTATTGATTCTTGGATCGAACGAAGTAGCGTCGATAACACTCGAGAATCATCACAGCTGTAAATAGCAAATGTGTTGTCCCTCGAAAAGTCCCGCGCCCATTTACGGGTTAACGGAAACGTCGGAAACATCCGGAGTGTCATCGTGGGCTTGTTCTCCCCCTTTATCGTTTTCTCCTTTTTCTCTTCACCGAAAAATCTCACGCAGGAACTTTACAGGAATTTCCTCGGAATCCTCAGCGGATACTCCGCGCACGGCGCCGCGTGTGAAATTCACCGCGCGAATCGATCGATGTGTATTGAATTTTAATTCGTTGCGTCGCTACGGAGAACGAAGGGGATCGTTAAATATAAATTATGCAGTCGCGCGCGGCGCGACGCGAAATACGAGACCGCGTGGGAAAATCCACCGACACGGCCAAGATTTCGGCTCGTTTCCGAGCGGTGTTAATTGACGATCTGTGCGCGCGACTTATCGCAGCGGTCGTTGAAATTCGCGGCGTTTCCATCGCTCACCCCGTCCTCCCCGTAAACGACGACTGTCGAGCGAACAGGAGTGGTTGCATCTCGCGATAGCGTCCTTCCGCTTTCGACGTGTGTTCGCGACCGCACGATTCGCGCGCGTGGAGAAGGGGGGAAAAAAACATGGTCGCGATAAGCCTCGAGTGCGCGCGCGGATCGACGTGTTCTTATTCCCCCTTCGTATCGAATCGACTTCCAGCTCGCATCGGGAATTCAGTTACCTCGCGCTTGAGATGCATTCGAATAACCGTTTTACATGGCTTTCCACTATCGCGAGCGCGAATGCATCCACGTGAAAACACTCGGTCTGGAAACTTACACCATACATCAGATGCGTCGTTTGTTCAAAGAGCAGTAACCCTGATGTAGGCGCGACATACTTGTCTCTCTCTCTCTCTCTGCGAATTTAACTTCGCTGAATATTAATGAGGAAGTTGGTCAAAATTATCTCGCCGAACGCGTTGGTATTTTTTTCGGTGAAAATTTTCGGCTGATTAATGAGGCTCCCTTGTACCGCGTCGGGAGTCCGAAAAGGGACAGACGGATTTTCCCCGTGCGATCGCGAGCGCTCGCTAAAAACTCAATTTAACTGCTCGAAGCGAGGAACAGAGAGACGAGTTACACGAAGGTAACTACAAACTCTACGCGCGCCCGGGAGGGTCATTTCAACGTTATACGTAATTTATGTCGCGCGATAAATTACCCACCATCCCCATCGTCCGGTCTAACACGACGGATCCATTGCGCGAACAGCGCGATAATATTATTTCGTCCCAGCGACGACGAACAAACGTTATTTCCCGTGACGCCTCCTTCCCTCCGCATCCCTCCCGGTGTCTCTTCTGCACGAGCTCTCGCCTTCTCTTTCTTTCTTTCTTTCTTTCTTCCTTCCTTCCTGCCTGCCTGCCTGCCTGCCGCTCGTCTTCGTGATTTATCGACACGTTTTTTACATTTCCCCGATATTGGCGAATCGGGGCCAGGTGAGGGTGTATTCTGAATCGACCTCGGGACCGGAATTTCCGTGAAAATTGCACGATCCTTCACGTGCGAGATGATTTCATCAGAGAATATATCTCTCTTCGTCAATTTCGTCGAATAAATGTAAAACTTGACATTTCCAAGGGGACATTTCTTCTAAGGAGACAAAATTCCCCGTGCTCGCGACATGGAAATAATCCCAAGCGGATTTTTACGGCGAGGTAACAGGCCATCCGAGTATCTTGCCCGAGTTTTTCCACAAGTGGAAATTATTACGGTCGAAAATGACGCGAGGTGTTACCGAACCTGAGCGGAAACGCGGCTTTTTCGAGTGTATCAAAGTCGTAAGCCCCCGTTAAAATATCATAAAGGGTGGCCCGGACATAACGAAACTGATGGTCTAAACTCCGAAGGATTAAGGGTAGATGAGGGTCGGACACACAGTCGAACATGCTCCACTTGCTTCTCGTTTCTTCTCCGCGCACAATTCCGCCGGATGCTCGTCCTCCGCGTGACCTAGGGCGACCCAGATACCGCCTTCAGTTACCCCTTTTCCTGACTCGGTCAGCGAAACGTTCGACGATAAAACTCGCTTTCCCGGAGGCACGAGACCCGATTTTTAAGTCGGCGGAGCTACGCGTGGAATTTCGCGATGTCCTTCGAGATTACGCGCCACGGGAGAAAAAAGAAAGCAGCGCCCGGCAATTTCTCTAATCGTCGCACGTGAACGTACCGGGTGAACCGATTCGAGACGCGCTTGAAAATTTTGCGCAATTTACCCGCTGCGCTGTATAATCGCAGAACCGGCGATTAATGTGTGTACACGGTGCGTGTCGGCCGGCAAGTCTCCGCAATTTCGGTGCAACGAACTCTTCGCATATACTGTGTCGGCTTCTGCTTGACATTTGCCTCGGACATAACTAGACCCGGGTACGACTCGGCTCGAAAATACTCAGCGCGCGCGCGCGCGCACAGGCTGATTTAGATAATTATTTAACGGTCGCGTGCGCCCAGTTTTTCCCACACACTTCCGCAATTTTCGACTTTTCGCCGTACGGATACGTGCGGCATGTAATTTCGCCTCTCGCCTTGACATTTAACTCCATTATCGAGCGGATTATATTCTCGATTAAACGTTAATCGAACATCGCGGACTCCGCATTATTTACATTTACAGGTCGTTCGTCGCCCGCGATAATCGAGATGCATTTAATTGGCATCGATCAAGATCGCACACGGGAAAAAGCGCGCGGAGGGCCTGCGAGAGTTGAATTAAAATAGCCCGAATCGGCCTGCGCGACTGCGCAGTGT